CAGATTGCCTCCACTGCTTTTGAGCATTTCGAGCGAGAGGGCAATCGAGTAATTTCAATTGAAGAATTGGCACGGGTATGTTGAATTGTTGCTTACAAACATCTCACAACCTCATCTTGAGCTAATTTTTATATGATTCCTTTTGATTTGATGTACAGGAGTTGAATGTTGGGCCTTCAGCTTGTGCATTCCTCAAAGACTGGATCAGAATATTGGATGGAAAGCTTAGTTTACTTGGATATACAAAATTTTTACATGGTGTGACGCTTCGTAGCTCCAATACAAGACATCATTAGTTTTTAGCCATTGATATTATATAGTTGTTAAAATTCATGGCATTTTGAAAGACTTGTGATTTTTTTTTTATCAAAAATTATTTATCCTTGAAGGTTGGTTACAGAAAAATGTGCATAAGTGAATATGTTAGTGAGATTGATGAGGAAAATTTACAGTGAGAATTTGTTCTCGCTTATGTCCCACCTTTGCTTCATGGTGCGTGTATGTGCGTTTGAGTCGAAGACGCTAGCTAAATTCATTGATGCTGAAAGGTTCCACCACCACAAATTGGAATGATTTGTTCTTTTTTTAATGGTTTGCATAAGTCAATGGGCTTCTTCTAATTTTTCTTGCACCACATGCTACCTTAATAATTAGTCTATATTACCCTTGTAAAAATTCTTGCATCCAGGCGAGGCCAGCTATCAAACAACAAAATTCATTTCCCTGTTGAAGATTTTGGTGGGATTATTTCCTGACAAATGACAACCAATTAAGCTGTTAACACATGTTGTTCTTGAACACCCTGATCCAAGGCTGAAGAATAATCCTCTTAAAGCATTACTTTTATATATATATTATTATTATTATTATTATTATTATTATAGATGTTGTAGGTTGTCCAATATAGTTATTATTATTATTATTATTATTATTATTATTATTATAGATGTTATAGATTATCCAATATAGCGGTTAAAAAATAAGCGGAGGAGAGAAGACTTTCATTAAAAAAAAAAAACTGCAGGAAATGCAGTAAACTATATATATATATATATATATATATATATATCATTATAAAATTGGATTAATAAAAAATGTGAAGCGTGAATAGACGCGGTACAGCACCGCCGAGTAGCTTTTCCGTGCCCGTATCGCGATCATTGGATACTCAATCGTGTGATGTGAATAAGGAAACGACATATATGTAGAAATTTTATTTAATCTATTTAATAATTCATTAATCATTAAATAAAATAAGAAATTTTCGACTGATTAACCATTAAAAAAAAAAAAAAACCAAGAAACAAATACATGATGAATGATGATGATGATACATTAAACGTCTGAATAGAATGGGATATGTCACAAGATTATAATATAACTTCAATATTTTAATGTCAGAAAGAGTAATATAATTCCACCCAAGTATTGTGAGATTGCAAGGCCTGTCTTAAATTTTTATATGTATATGCATTTTCCTCAAGTCTGAACCTTCTTCCTATTGGCCAAAAAAAAAAAAAAAACCCTTCTTTCTAATCAAATTAATTAAACTACTTATTTCCCTTTTTATTATTGTTCTTAATTTGGTCAACTATAGCGTAGAAGGCTCCAAAAATATTTTGTATTGAATTAGGTAATTAACAATTTTAAACACAACCGTCCACAGCACCCCCCCCCCCCAAAAAAAAAAAAAAAAAAAAGAAAAGTAAAATTCTGGACACTTATCTTCAGTCATTCCAAGATTTTAGAAAGAGTAAAGAGAAAAATCAGGGAATCTTGAATGCTCAATTTCATGAATTAATGAATTTCAAAATTTACTAGGATTTTTCTTTGTATGCATGCTGCCCTTCATTTCTGCATCTGTGGTACCCCGCAATGTAAAATTTTTATCATTCAATGAGTCATTTTCTACCCTTTTCGAGATCAAAATCTTCATTTCTTTGATGCAAAAGGGACGTCTGTCCAAATATCATTTCAGGCTGTGGATTCAGATCATCGAATGCCTTATTCAGTGCTTCCATTAAACCTCCTACTAATAATTCTGCAGGATTTGTTGTCGGGTTTTATACTTCTAATGCTGATGTCTTCAAAGCCAACCACGACGAACTTGACTAGGAAATGCTCTCAGGGCAAGAGTGGCTTGTCCAAACCAATCATTTTGGGAATAACGAAAGTGTTTTAGGCAGAGATACATGATTTATTCACATTGTCAAGACCGGCGGAGGTATCCTATCAATCGTTAAACCCAACTTGCTTAAGATGTAGCCACTAGGCGTGTTTCATTAGGAGCATGCAAATGGAATTTTCAATTCTACATAATTAAATTTATAGTTATAATAAATGTGATACATAATTTAATTGCAGTTATTTTTAAGAGTTAACATTCAACAAATTTATTTGTATAAAAAATTAATCTATGGTATGTAAAAAAAATCATATCTATAGTTACTTTTGTGCATCAAAAGAAGAAATCATTGGAGATCTTTGAGATAAGATTTGGATTTGTTCCAATCCTTTTATTTTTTGTCTAACAAGTTGGACAAAGTCAGTAGTACTGTTCTATTAACTTCAACATCCAATGGCATGAATTTATGAACTCATCATCCATACTTTGAATACAATGACTATAGGCTCAGTGTTTAACCAACGAAAAAAAGAAAACCAAATGTCAAATCAAAGTTTATCTCTGAATGCATCATATTCATATTTATTATGTGAAGCCTATCTAGAATATTGTCTGACCTAGAGTGAATGCATGCTTCATACAAAAATTTGTTCTAAAAAAATTTGATAATTATTGTAACTTATAATTAAAAAATATATATAAAGCATTCCATATATATGCACCATTTAGTACTCCCAAATGACATAGCTTCTCAAGAATGGTTTGTTTACCTAAATTTACTCACATTGACTTTTGAATTGAGTTCATACCCCATAATAATTTTTATTAATTTTAACGATTTTTTAAAAATTAATTTAATTAAGAACCTAGGTTAATTTTGGTGTTACTTGATACATTTGGTCAGCTATATAGCTAGAATAATGTCTTGGATTTTTTTTCCTTGGAAATTCCTAACTAATTTTTTTTGATGAAATAAAATAGTTCCAAGTGATATTTATTTATTCCACTGTCACAATCAATGAAACCAAGAGTTTTTTTTTTTTTTTTTTTAACAATATTAAAATTTTAAAAAATGCTTTTTTAAAACCCCAAAAGCTTAACATGAACAGAAAAATTAATCACTTGAAACAAAGAAAAGCTATTTAAATGGATAGTGCCATTGTCATCAACTCTTTTTCATTTACAAGTCATTAAAAATTTAGTGTACAACATTGACACCCCTCCACCAACTCGAAGGCCACAATGTTTTCTTATCTGCCGTTTGTTTGGCTTTAAACTCTCAATTTCCGTAACATAAATGGCTCCAAAGGATGCCAGAGAAGCTCTTTATTCCTGACCCATATAAACCTCAATAAATACAGTGTGAAAAAAAGGTACAAACTGCCCTTTGTTTGTATCTGGAGTTAAGGGCAGAAGATACGTGCCCTACAAAAACATCAAAACCTTGGTCTTACTTACCCAAACAGGGTATTGAATTGAACCCAACCCTCCACTACTGACTTGCTTGACCGTTTCAACACCTTTCTCAATTCCCCCTTGCCTCTCCTCTTCTCTCCCGTCACCTCTCTCACTCCATTGCGGTTCAGACAACAAAAGAATAGTTAAACACACACATGTTCATGTTTCAATCAGTTTTTCACTTTTAAAAACTCAGTTAAGTTCAATATCTCAAGTCTCATATGTTTGCATGTAGGATACAGTCTTTCACCCATTTCGAAGAATCCTCAGTGACTTCAGATTTCGTGAATCTAGGAGCTGTGGTCCGTACTCTAATTTCTACAGCTTTCATCGTAGCTAATGATCAGTTCTTGACAACTATGAAAACTGATTTTTCATCGGTTGAAAAAAAAAAAAAGCAGTCAAATTTTGTTGACTTACATTTATCCCTTTGACTAAGGGATAGGATAATCAGAGCTTAACACAAAACCTGTTTAGATAAAGATAAAATAATTTCCGATATACTCATATCCATTGTTGCAATTTGCACACAAACAACAGCAACATATTAACATTATTAAACAGATGTTTAATCCTAGACTACATATATAGTGTTTTTCTAAAAAAAAAAATGGGTCAAATTGCTAGATCTTGATTAATATTTTTTTTTATTTTTAGTTGCTTGTATCAATTTTTGAAATGTAAATCATCATAGATATCAATACTATCAATTTTCAATGATAGATATGATGACTAGAGATCCGAAACACTCATAAATTTGTCAGTGCAGTTAGTGTACCTAGGATGAAAGGATTTATGACTAGTCTTTCCTTTCAAGGAACCTATTTGAAGATTTGTTAAGGCAGGTGTGGATAATTGTACAGAATTTGCTTCGTTTGGTGATGCTTTCACTGAGGGTGGTGTGAACAAAGAAGTGCTTTTCATGGATGGATTGGTGTTATCTAGCCTACTCTAATGTTTTGGTGACTATTCTTCTATAGTATAGATGTTTTTGTGGCTATTCTGCTATAGTATAGCTCTGTTTATTGGGCTTGATATCTCTTGGCGTATATTTCTTAATTGAGTAGTGTTTATGGTTTTATCTTGCTGTGGAGGATGGATCAGACTCATCTTGGCTCTCCTTTACTTGTTGGAAGTATATGAAATGGTTGATTTGTGATAGAATCTGGAGTTTCAAGGGGTAAATCTTTTTTGTGTGTGCAGTGGTTAATAGTGGTTTCATTCTTACTGTCAAATGTTAATTTGTGTTTTGCTGCTTTTGGATCATATACTTTGTATGGCATATTTGATGTTTTACTTGAGTCTCTTGACTATCATCCTCTTAATGAAATGATTTTGGCCTAGAAAAAAAATTTCAAAGAGTTGGTATAGAAGAAAAAAGAAATTCTAAATATTTCATGATTCACAATCTAAATGTAAAATATTTAGAAATTAATTCCAAGATTAACTAATTCCGAGATTAATGAGATTGATTTCCACAGTTATCGTGCCCAATATTTCAGACTTAAAGCAAGAGCAATGACCCTACCAAGAGCCCTTGTCTATTCTAAAGATGCCAAACGCCATTCAATTCTTCAATATATTCCTCTTTAAGATTGAAAAGAAAGGAAATTAAGGAAAAAAGGCATTTACTTCTTTCCCGTTACGATTCCTAACAAAATAACCAAGTCGCTACAATTGCAAGCAACAATTGTCGTCATTATCGCATCATCTTTTATCATCATCCTCTTCAACCAACCGTCTAAGGTCTACCAACAAACAGGAAAAAGCAAGAAAACAAACTCAAAAAGAAAGCACACCCGAATTTACAAATTCAAGAAAAAAGATTATACTACTAATTAACAATCAAATCTTGTTCTTCATGGTTTTAGGCCGCCCTTGTTTGGCACTTACAAAACCATAACTCATTTTTTTCTTTTTTGGTCTTTTGATTGGTTAATAACAAGAATTCAAACCCTAAAACATCCGATATGATGGTGATGATGAAGCGACTTTTCCCTATCAATCAAGCCCCGGACATTCCTAAACTCCTCTACATGACAAGGGATGGTGATCATACCCTTCTGATCGAACCCGTACTCTTCCTCAGCTTCTTTCAACAGCTGCATGAACAACGGGTGATTAAAGTACATAACAGGCACCACAAATCTCTGTTGCTCCTCCCCTAGTGATCCAACCTTGATGGCCAAACACCCTTTTGGTACATCCCTTGCATGTTTCTTCCCATGATGATGATGATGAAGGTGTGGTAGGTGTAAATGAAAATTCCTCAAACTTTTCTCTGCACTACCCATTTCTCCAACAATAACCAAAAAAGAAAACCCAAGAGCAAGATTATCCAAAGGCAAAAACCCTACTTCTTTTACAAAATAAAAAAGTTAGAGGCAAGAACAAGAAAAAGTGCAATGGTTGTTTGCAATGGGTTGTTCGAAGATGGTGAGTGAAGAGTATCTGAGAGCCTTAGGCACGTTGGTTATGGTTGGTAATCCAAACCAACATGTAAACTCATACAAACCAGAAATTGGAGAAGATAAATATATATAAAGCTGAAGCAATAGAAAGAGAAAGAGAAAAAAAAAAAAAGGTGGTTTTTATATGCCCCGGAAAGCACTATGGTTTTCTTGTTTTTGTATATTACGTGGATTCACAGACGTTTCATTTAAAAGGGATTTAAGGGAATCTGATGATGATAAAAGGGGTTATGGTGATAATTGATTAATTTATATTTGTAACGAACAAAATTTGGTGGGAATGGCAAAGTGTGTAATTAAGGGTGAATCGAAGGGGTAAGACACGTAGATGGTGAGTGGATAGACAAAGCGACACGTGGTTAGATGTAGAGGGTGATGTGGATTTCACGAAAGGGAATAGCCGACGGCCGACGTGGAAGGTGTCGTTTTACAGTAAAGAAAAAAAAAAAAATATATATATATATATATTTGTGGAAGACAGCCAATGACTAAATAATTAATTAATAGATTATAAATCAATAAAAAAAATAAATTAAAAAACTTTTTTTACCACTAAAATAAAGCTTTAATGACACTTGTGCTTTTATTTCTCTACGACATTAACTATTTTCTTTTTTGTACTTCGGAAAACCAATCCGTACTAAAAAAATCATGTGGTTTTTATTCTCAATAGAATTTATGGATTTCCAGATTCTTCTTTTATTAAAAAAAAAAAGAAATTCAAGAAATAACCCTTTTACTCCTCCCACTTACCTGTTAATTGGGTTTTGTCTTTTTTGGTTGCCCTTTTTTAAGTAATCCATTGGTTGGTTGCTTCGAAAAAAAAAAAAAAAAAGGTACGAAAAGTGAAGGTCTTAATTTTGTGATTAATAATTTGATTAGCACTTTACTCAAACTCTCAAAGGAGAGTAAAAAGAAAAGTTGAAACGGAATCAAATGAAGAAGTAATTGGGATTGAGATGTGTTTTTTAATTAACAAAATAGGATTCCAGAATCCGTGAATTTATGAAGTGTTACAATCTATCTGCCATGGCTGATGGGACACAAAATCTGAATCGCTAGATATGGTGTTGGATTTCATTGTCAATCCAGAATGAGATGGCAAATTTGTCAATCTCGAAAAAAGTCCCAAAAGAGTTTCTGACCCTTTGATCTGGAGCCTAGCAGGGTCAGTCACAGACGATTTTTTTCCTTTTTTTTTTTTTATAGGCTGACACTATTACGCTTAAAAACAATAACAATAACCATTTTATTATGGTTATCTTTAGTTGCATTTTAAATTTATGTTTAGTTTGATTCGTATAATCATAAAATATTTTTTTAATAAATTTAATAGTTAAATTTTAATATTTATAATTTTTTATCTTCATATTCCGTTGTTTTGTAAAAGAAAATTACTATGTTATTGTATATTGATAAGAAAAATTATTTAGTATATTGATAGCAAATTTTTTTTAATTTTACAAATGTAATTACTATGATAATAAATATCTAATTTTTTTAAATTAATTTTTTATTTTTTAAATATATACTAACAAATATGTTTCATAATTTTAATTTCGCTTGTAAATTAAAAATTATCACGATTGATATATCTAATAATTTCACATTAAATATATATATAAAAAGATCTGATTTGATTTGTTCAAATACCAGATATATTTTCGGGAGCATCATTCTCCATTATTAATTTTTTTATTTTAAAATTGGTAATGCCAGATTTAACTTTTAAGAAAATGAAATGAGGGATATTCATTTTTAGTGCTTACCAATGAAGGACACAGCAATGCAACAGAATATTAGCATATTATGATAGCAATTATAAACCTATCACAAATGAACAAAACAAGAGACAAAAAAGGATGGCTTAATGACTTGTTTTTGCCAATAACAACATCTAAACATTAATTAAAAAAAAATTTTCACTCCCTAAATCTGTATTTGTGAATTCAGAGGAATTTGTATGCAATTAGTGAATTTGACACAAAATACCTCCTATTAATTGTCATCATTTATTTAGAAAATTTTCAATTCATCGGATAAACCAAAAATCCAAATGTTTATCGATAAATTGAGCTCGGGAATTACATTTTTCACGTTGCCATTGGATGGTCAACTGGGTCTGAAGTGCATACGCAGACAACCAGCTGCCACGCATTAGACACAGTGCACAGTGCACACACTAGCAAAGGTCAATAGTAATTTCATAACAATGGTGCACTTTAGCACATGATTAACCAGCCAGTAGCCCCAATACCCCGTTGCCCGAATCAGAATGTTGGACTTTGGAGAAACAACATGATCCAGAACAGGGCCTTAAATCATCTCTACTGGCCCAAAGACTTTGACTTGAGCTAGCACAGCCATTTGACCGAGGAATCAAACTGGTTTCATAATTTTAGTCCTTAGGGCAATCATTGATTTTGCGAAACATATTCTGTTATATCTGCTTTAAATTTAATAAGGTTCATTTAAAGATAATTCATTTCAAAGCTATGCCAGTTAGGCAGAAATGAGTTGTAGCCATTTCTGCCTATTTTCCTGAACTATTATAACACTTTAAAACATAGGCATTTACTGGTTTTTAAAATCTTGGTCTGTTCATGAGTACAACGTGGAACAAGGGCAAAATTTGGGTTGTCTACGTCGTTGAAAACTCAGTTGATGTTGAGAACTCATCACTCACAAAGCTGGAGAATATTGCTTTGATAGTTTTTTTTTTTTTTTTTTTTTTTTTTAACTCTGCACTCAGTAAGACTATAACAGTAGTGCTTTTCTGGCCAACTTGAATCTTAAAAAACGCCTCAAATGGAATATTTCAAAGGAGAGAATCTTTCAAGTTCTTTTTTGGGATTTTTAATATGCTCACTTACAAATATGCTCATAGTTTGAATTTTCAAATGCATGGCTCCTTTTGCCTTTCAAATAGTTGATTGCCACCCAAGTTTAATTGACTTTCATAGTTTACTGTTATTTTCCAAGATCTAAAAATGATTAATGATTTTTATTAGATGAAAAATTGGGTTGAGTAGGAGACATACATGGTGATGAAAAAAGATGCAAAGTGTAGGAGGAATTGGGGAAAGGAGACACCACCCAAAGTGGGGGAGGACTGAATGTGGCTTTTCTGAAGAAAGAAAAAGTTATTCTTCTCTCCCTCCTTTTTTGGGGGATGCCCTAATATAAATATAAATAAACTTTCATATGTGAACATTGAAAAATAAATGATATTACCATATTTTGAGTTCAACTCATAAAATTATTGAGATGTAGGATATAATAAGGTCGAGCATATAAATCACTAAATTCGGACATATGGAGTTCCTCTCAATGGAAATTGTAGGCAGATATTCAAAAATATCAATAGCCAAATTGTATCCATCCCTTTATTTGTATAACAAATGCATCAAAACAACCTTTTTTTGTAAATTATGATTGATAATTTATCCACAATTGTCTTACTCATAAATATACGCAAAGAAGAGAGCAGTGTTTAGTTTGGGAAGGTTCTAAATTTATGGGTTAAGCACATCTCCTTGCACGCCACCCCCACTCATTCAGGTTAGGTCTGGGTCGTTGTCTAACGCAGATTGGCTACGTCGAAGGTTTGGGTTTTTTTTTTCAAAGAAAGGAAACGAAGAATGGATGCTTTCCTTTTTGGGTTTTATACGAAATTTTTGGGCTTCAAAAAATTTGGTAATTGGTATGAAGAACAGGCGGCCTCATTTGTATTGTGTAATGACAAACTTGGACTCACTGATGGTGAACAAATATTGGGCTTTTTTACCACAATGTTATTAGTATGCAGCATTTTCTGCCATTTCAGAATTTTTGGCTACAAGAAAAGAAGGGGGAAAAGAGAGAAAAAGGAATTCTGAGGTTTCACTCAAGAAAAATTACAGCAAACAAAAATTTACTGTTTTAGAAAGAAGTGAAGTGGTACTTTGCTGATTTGCATAAACTTGTACGAACACAAAAGGCTAAAAGAAAAAATTGTAGTGCGGTTTTAGGGTTTCCGTTATTGTTTTATGCTTTTTGGTTTATTAACTAGAAGATAATAGAGAGTTTAATTATGTATTACCAGTACAAATTTCGGAGACCAAATCAATTCCAGTTTGTCCAAGGTAGTTTTGTCTGAAAAGCTGCAGTATAATCTGCAGACATCAAAGGTATTCTTCTTTTACCATTGGATTTTTAGGAGGTCGATTACTAAATTAAGCATTTGTGTGATTTGACACCCACAACAGTAGTGACAAACGCAAAAGAATCCTTTTTATAACAAAAACAATTATCAAGCAAGATTTTGTTTGCAAAACTAGAAGATGGGTGGACAGCAGTTTGCAAAAGTCCGAACTTTGTGAGCTTTGCTGATGGATTGAAGACCTAGATATGATAAAACCAGGGAAATAAGTGAGCTGAAAGGAACAAGAGATTAAAACTTGAAATCCCAAATCCAAGACGGCCTTGTTGCTGATGGTTTGTTGCCACTAACTATATTTCATGGCCAGTGAGCCTTCGTTGTCACCAACAGGCTTTGAGGAGAAAGACAAAAATGAAAGACAGAAGAAGGAAAAGAAAGAAGAAAAAAAAGGCGCAAATAGAGAAATACTAGCACTACGAAAAATCGAAAGCTAAAAAAGGAAAACCGAAAAGAAAAGCAAAGCAAAAACTACTGTAATAATACTTTCCATTCGTGTGAAATAGTGTTAAGAAGGCTTTTTTCTGCTGGGGTCGGAAGAAACAAGTTAAATTCTGGATAAAATTCATCCAATTAATAGAACCCAAATCAATTGTCTGAGATCGTATGAATTCTATTTAAAATAATTACTTTACTCCATCTTTTCCTTGATTTTTTCATCAACCACGTATATGAAAACAGTTCCATCAAACAGCTTGGCATTGGCAATGGGATTCATCATGGGTTCAAATCATGGGCTCCTCCAACTGATAGGGAAGTATCTAACAACATTGGAAAAGTTTACTAAGATGAAAGGAAGCCAATATATGTTTAGAGGTCATGTTAAAACTTTAATGTACTGCCATCAATTCAACTGTAAGTACTAGATTGTAACCCTATGCAGGAAGTAACTGTTTGGGTACTTAACAACCTGTTCAAAGTCCATTAACCATGTATAGGAAAACGTTTCCATCAAACACAGATTGGCAAAGGTGGCACCCGACAAGGGTTCAAATCATGGGCCCTATT